GCACATACGGCTGTTTGTTTTTTACAACGCTCTGGATTACTTGATTCTGATTGGTAAATCACAGCATTCTGCAGTCAAATATTTTTGTATACTGAAATCCAAACTGTATATTTGACTGTTGCCCCAGCAACCTTCAACTTTGTGGTAGTTTCATATCTCTCGTATCGTATCGCTGCACGCATAATGTACGGCCTACAAACACCAACTGATGATGACCAGTTGACTGTACCTTACTTTTATTCCTTTTTTCTACTCAATTTTCAAGGATTAAAAAAACCCCTGATGTTTCACTTTGATGAAACCGAGCTAATGTGGAATTTCAGGAGAAGTGTGTTCATATAATCCTGCTAAATACACTTTCCTGCCTCCTAGCCACGATTCCTCCAGCACGCAGCTCAGTAACGTTTGCGAAGGATCAAGGTTAAGTTCCGGTATGACTCATTCTGCACCACACAGATGTTTGTCCAATCAAATGTTTTGAGGATTGAGAATGCCCCACCCCTGATTTATAAATACCACCTGCAACTGACTAACAAGTAGCAATGGTTCACTGCTTATTATAATTAAAGCCTGTTGGCTATTTGTTTAAACAGACAAGCCATTTGATATGCCCCACCCAAATGTACAGTTTAAATAAGAAATATGTCAAGGGTGATATATGAAAAGTCAAGCCCTGTGAAGATGAAATGATCCAGACACACTCATTCTGCAGGTATTATTGGACTCACTCAAATAAATACAGTTTAATTAGAAAAATGATACTTCAGGAAGCATGACTAATCATGTGATTAATTCAAGTGGCCAGACAGACACAATTAAGCTTTTTTTAATATAAACCTGAGAGAGGGAGAGAATGAGATGGAATCAGACCCCTCTTTTAGACAGCTCACTTCTCATCAACTCAGACAATAATAAGTCAAAATTAGATTAAATGCAAAAAATAAAATAAAATACTCTTCAATTCTGCAGGGCAGTAAACCTCTGCTATGCTGAATTCAGTCAAAGACAGTTGAAAGTCCACAGATGGCCTTTAAGTATAGTTTTCCCATATTTTTCACAATGCTGCAGATCGGAGGCTTTGATAGCATATTGCTTTGCCCGGCATCTCATTGAACTGTGTGTTCAAGCCAGTTGCTGTTGCTTTCCACTTATTCTCTCCATCTGGAGAAAAGCCCAAGATTCCCTGAACTTCTTCCGCACAACATAAACAGGTAACGGATGGGTGAGCATATGTTTTTGGGCTGTATGTCATGTGTTTTATATTATCAGATACTTATAAACATGTTACATAATTAATTTAAGTGGTGTTAAGTTAGAGAAAAGGGCTTTAAACATGAAATTCAGTCATTATTTTAGTTTTACTGACCATCAAAAAAAATGCAGATGGTATAGACTTTTTCTGAGTCAGATTTGCATGGGAATTGACAGTTGCAGAATCATTTTCCTAGGATGAGAAGAAAAAATAATACTGTGCCTTTGTTGTTTTATTGTGTCAGTTTTTTTTTCATGGCAAAACAGTATTGTTATAGATTTGTTTGTTTGTTTTTTATTATTATTATTATTCAAAAACATTTGCATTACACTTCTCTAGTATTTAATAAGTGTTGGATGCACATTTCATGTTTTTCAGCCAGGTTTTCCTCAGTATTTTATATGGACTATAATTCAGTGTTATTATCATTAAATAATTCAAAAACTAAAACTATTACTAATATCTTTGCTAACTGAAATAAAGCTGAAATATAAATATTAGATTAAAACTTAAACTAAAGTAAAATAAGAGATATTTCTTTGGCAGCTAACTAAAATAAGTACAGGTTGAAATGTTAAAATTAAACTAAAACTGAAATAAAAAATAATACTAAAATGCCACTGCTATAGTGTTTGTACTTTTATATTAACCCCTCGTGGTTCTCCATTTTAAAAACTCTGTAGTGATCGTTTTTGAGAGCAGCTCCTGACAACTGTTCATGACTGTCTCAAAAAACACTTTCCCTTAGCAAGAACAAATTCAGTACTGCTAACATCCAGCAGTGACACATCCTTCCTTTGTGTGTTTTCTAATAGTCTCATCCTCTATTGTTCTTATATTTGTCCTTCCTCTGCTTCTTTCCCGTGCTTTCCACTGCACTTGTGTTGTCTGTTCAGGTCTTACGAGCCTGATTGAGACACACACACACACATACCATTTCTCTCATCTCTTTCGATGTTTCCACTCCAAAAAGTCCAGAGGCCTCCAGCGGGGCGCATTAATTATCCAGGCTCCCATTACACACTAAAGCAGGGGTATCAGCATGTGACACGATGTTTTCAAAAGTTCTCCCTCTCTATCCTTCAGTTCCCTCCTCTTTCTCTTCCTCTGAGCCTCGCAAGTCATTGTGTATTTAGATAAAGGTCAAAATCTGAATGGCAAATGTCTTGATTTATCACTGTGTCACAAGAGACAAGGCTGAGAAACAAATGTCAAGAAAGGTGGATACAGAGCAGGATCAGAAAGACTCAAGCAGCTTCAACTAAGAATGCAAATGCTAAATGAAGAGTGAAACGAACAAAACAGAGACTCCCTTCTTTGGGTTTCAGCTTGTGAGAAAAATGTGAGAAAAATTTCACTAGAATGACATCATCCCCAAAGGATTTTGTAAAATATGCATCATTATATTAGTTTTACTTTTTATGAAATTTGTACCGTTGAGACTCTTTTAATAAAGCCTTCAGATTGGGGTCAACCTACTACTGTGTGAAATTTCCCAGACTTTTGGAGATATATTTCATATGTGCACTTTTCATCTGACAAGACCCTCAAGGCACAAACTAATTAGATTCGAGCTGAATCAACATATTTCAATAGGGGATCATTTTACAGAGTTAAAGTTTTTCATCTAATATCTTGCTAAATCCCTTCTGTGTAGATTCTGTATATTACAGTTCTTGTACGGTTGGCTAAAAACATCATATAAAGGTGTCACCTGAGTTTGACTCTATTCTTAATTATGAAATGTAGCCGTTACCAGGTTATCACAAAATTAAAAGCTAATACATTTATAGAGCTAACCGAACACAGCCAACTCCCAGCTCTGGTTTCCATGTAGCTCTTGAACCTGAGGGGTGTTACTCTGTACGTTTGCTCATGAAGAAACTGGTTAGCCCAGAGTCAACACTGGTTTTGACTGGATCTTTGCCCTCAGGGTGATACTGGCTATTCAAAGGCGAAATGTTAAAGACGAGTACCATCCATTTGGGAAAAACACACACACACACATAACACATTGTAAAAAATGCACCTTTGGAAAAGGTTCTTCTCATATTAATCAGAAAGATTTCTTGAATGTAAAAAAAAAAAGGGAGTTCCGTTCCTTCACTGGAATTTGTAAACCAACTTCTTGTTAATGGCACAGAGTTTCGTGGCCAAGGGCAAGGAGATGAGGATAAGGTTGTCTTTACATTATTGTGTTGATCCATTTTATAGTGCATCTAATACAATATAGTGAATGTCCGACAACTGAGAGCTCTCAATGTCTAGAATGTTGCATCTTTATTATAGGTTAAAGGAACAGGAACAGTTCTTTTGAATTAGTGAAGCTTAATGCTGAACACAGCTAAAAGAGCCATTTCATCCTGAAATACTGGCATACAGTAACAAATCTGCCATTTAGATGTTTAGAGCTTGGACAGATACATGGCATGTGCTCTGAATTACTGGGAGTGTGCTTAGTGCCCTTAAGAGGGAGCAGGTGAGTGTGCAAAAGCTCCATTCGTGCTGCTATTCCGCCCTTCCCTGAGGGTCAGATCTTCAATTTACTCCTTAAGCGTGAAGCATAACCCCTGTAAACCTCAGCAGCCATGCCCAAGGTTTGTGTAAGGGGTCTGCGTGTGTGAGGGGAGAGCTGAGATAAGATAATATTCTGCACTGTCTGTGTCAGAGAGAGATTTGAAAGGGGGTGGCATATTTGGTGATCTTTTTGTTGTTGTTGTTTATTTCCGAATATTGAATTGTGCAAAAGGTAACATTTGTTTATATTTATTTGTATACATGCATAATCTATGCAGTATACCCAAAAATCTTGACTTCACAAAATAATTACATTAAGTGAAATAAGATTTCAGTTTGCATTGTTATGCATGTAATTTTTAAATCAAATGGATGGGAGAATTTTCTGTCCTCGCTGTCTGTGTGTGTGTGTATCTATCTAGTATTCCCTACATTATGAGGAGCAAATGTCCCCACAAGGATAGTAATACTAGTGAGGACTTATAAGGAAAACAGCTTATAAATCATACAGAATGACGTTTTTTGAAAGTGAGATTTAAAAGGGTGTGGCATATTTGGAGTTTTTGTTTGTTTATTGCAATGATTAAATGATTGAGTACATATTTAATTTTGCATAAGGTAACCTTAATTCATATTTTATCTATGTACATGCATAATCACACAATAAGAAACATATGTAGGCAAAGAAGAAAGGGATAAAAATGATTGCATTCAACATACTGTATATTGAGCTATGCAGTATACCCAAAAACTTGACTTAGATTGTTGAGTGAAACAAGATTTCGGTTTGCATTTTTATACATGTAAGTTTTAAATCAAAGATTTTTAAATGGAATTTGGTGGGAAGAGTAAACCTCAACCTCTTGCCATCAACACTTTTTTTTTTTGCTTTGGAGTAACTCCAAGACAATGCCTCCACATGCCTTGGGTATAGCTTGCTCTGCAACAAACAGGTTTTTCAGCAGATTGCACAATATATAACTTAAAAAACAACACACAAACTGACTCATCTCTTTGTTTTGTTTATTTGTACAAAAGTAGTGTGTGGACCTGAAACAAATCTTTACAGTACAGTATGCTGCTAGCAATGGCAAGGTTGTGGGTTTGATTCCTACAAAATGCATGAACTGATAAACAGTAAAATCATCTGCAAAATGTAACAACATGGAAAAAAAAAATACACATGGAATCTTTCAGCTGCTAAACACGTTTTCTTTCTCTCCAATTTCAGGAGGACAATGAAATCCCCTCCACTCTGCTTACTAAAGATGGCCTGGCCTCCACCTCTCAGGATGAGATTGCTCCATCTGCACCAACTCCGCTCACTGATTTAAACCGTTCTCAAGATGAAGGTCTGCAGACCATCAGCCTCTCCTCTGATGAGGACGAGGAAAAAGGAGCAACGAGCCTTCTAGCAGAGGGTGGCGATGATTCCCTGGATTTGCATGAAGAGAGTTTCCCAGGTTTGGGAAGCGAACGTCTGGAGCGCTCTCGTGCTGACAAGTTCAAGCGCTCCAGTCTGAAGAAGGTGGATAGTCTAAAAAAGGCTTTCTCGAGAAGCAGCATCGAGAAGAAGATCAACAAGATCGTGCCTCCAGAACAGCGCGAGAAAATCAAGAAAAGCTTCATCCCCAACCACCCGAAGAGCTCCTCTTCCAAGAGCTCGTCCTTCCGCGTCTCTCCAATGACCTTCAACGTCAAGAAGGTACGAGATGGAGATGCTGACTCCTCCCAGCAGCCTGGGAGCTCACCCAGGAACCTCAGCCTAGTGGAAGTTCCCAACATTGGGGGACCTGATGGTGAGCTGCCCCTGGCTGAGAAAGCAAATGGAAACGATCATCACAACCCCTCCACCCCAGGCAGTGGGGATGGAGAGGTGTTCGTTTCAGATGAGGGTGGAGATCTCGAGAACGGTCCATCTGCGACTCTGGCTGAAGAAGAAATGGATAAAGAAGATGATGACACTGATGATCATGATGAAAATGGGAAGGAGGAAGAGGAGGAGGAGAAGGATGCGAGACCTGCAGAAGAAGCATCCGTGTCTCCACCGTCAGCTGCAGCTACTGTTGAGCTAACTTCTTAGATATAGTTGTGTTTCTAGCCCTCTGACTTCAATCCACTTCTGAGACTTTGGGAAGCGTAGTTACTCCCTTGTGCCACTGGTATCTTGTCCCCAAGCTTGTTTAATGTTAGCATATCTGCTAAAATAACATATTGTCCTGAATTAATCCCAAATATAATGTATCTATAACCTATTGTGTTAAGTTCAGAAATTAAGCATGTTCTTGTAGGAGGAAATTCCATTTAGATTCCATTTCAAATAGATTCTGTATAAAGGCCCAGAGAATGGTACAGCAGTTCAGACCACTGTCACCACAATGATACACCGAAATAGCTATATTTTCCTGTGGGAGCCTGTGAATACCATGAAATTGACTGAACTGAAATGCCTGAACTCTCCCTCTCTATCGTTTTTTCTTTGTGTGTAGGAGAGGCAATGTGTGTGCCAATCTGTCCTTTGTTATGCTGGAGTCCAGACTCTTTTCTGTCAATGTACATAAGATTAAGTATTAAATCACTTACAAAAAAGGTAGTATTATGGTTTTTGGAAGCAGTACTTAATTTTTCACTCAAAGGACTTTGATGCAAATACCATGGTATTGTTTGGAGTACCATGTAGAAACAATTGTATGTTAATATGGTAACCATGAAATATATAGTAACAACATGGAACATCATTACTGTAACATTGTACCACCAAAGTACTTTTGTACGGTATAAAACAGACAACTACAAAAGACAAGACGTTATATGTTGACAAAGTTATGTTTTTGACATTTTTAGAATGTTTATTAAAATATTTAGCAGCACTCCGTCTCATGGCTTGAATAAGTAGATGTCTATGAGGACTGATAGCAGTGCTTGACATAGTGGGAAGCATTTTTACAAATTTTCTAGGGAAAAGCCTGCACAATTGACTGCCATCTCCATGACAACCTTGCTGCTGCCAACAACTTCAATTACTGCTATAGTGCACGGCAAGGGCACACATACAGCTTGATAAATACAAATGTACAGTGAAGCAGAAGTATTTGTGTAGTCAAACATTCCTTATTGCTGATGTAATAACTTCATATTCTGCTAAACACTAACATTAATTAGATGATTCATTGATGAAATACTTTGTACTCAGACCTGTAAATATAAAAATTGCTGCCAGATAGATTAGACTTCTAAACTAAAACACTACCCCCCATTGGGGGTTCTACTTCTATCTATCTCACACTAAACTATTCAGTATACACACACTACTGAGACACAGAAAGGGCACTTTAGCGCCGGCGATTAAGGGGGCAGGGGCTCGAGACCCGTCCCCCAACCACCCTTGGTCAGCAATTATGTTGTTTTAAGGTGCTATATAAATATAAATTACCTAGTCCTTGACCTTGTTTGGTGGATTTTGTTTACAAGAATGAACAATTATCTAGACAAATGTTGTCAACATTTATGCATTTATTAATGCAATTTAAAAGTGTGCGAAGAAAGAGGATTTTAAGTGTCTCAAGTTCTGTTGTTCTTCACTTAGTAAATGTGGAGTATGTGAGGTAAGATAAATAGTTGGTCTTAACAGAAAACTTCAAGGTTTCATTTTCTACATCAACCACATGTGGGTTTGGCAAGCAGTCTAAAATCTCTGGCTCTCAGGTACACTGAGGGGTCAGGTTACATATACTGTATATCTGTCCAGGTTGAAGTAGGTTTTTTGAGGTACCAACACAGGGGCGCGGGAAGATGTTTTCGGTTGGGGGTGCTGTGTGTGTCCGTGTTGGGGGGGGACACACCCAAAAATGTACAATTTACATTTCAGAGATCATTACAAATAAATTATTAAATGCTAAAACTGAATAAATTTAAATGAACAAACTTGGCGTTGCATTTGCAACCATGTGAAAACAGGGGGTGCTGCAGCCCCCTCAGCACCCCTACTTCCCGCGTCCCTGTACCAACAGCTTCCACTGACAGTGTGAAATATGTAAGGAGGTACAGAGGATATTAGCTGAGATTGTATGTGCCATAAAGAGAAGACATTTTCATTCAAAGGAAAATATTTAAAAGCAAAAAAACAAACAAACAAGGGATTCACATCCAAATGTACTGCTGCTATTAGTATTATTTGTTTATTAAATAATTTTATCTATCTATCTATTTATTTATTTATTTTCCTCCTTGGCCACCTCGTGGAACTGGACCTTTACAATAATGGATGATGTTGTCTCCACCGTGTGGCCAAATGCCGTCAGTTTACGATTTCATCTGCTTGTTGATGATTATCAAACATAAGCCCGTAAAACTAAATAGTTGTTTAGTAACAAAATATAAATATTTTATTTTGTTACTCAGAACCTTATCAGATTGTGATTTGAAAAAAAATCGTATTCTTATGCTTCACTAAAAACAAGTCGGATTTTCATTACATTTACGTAATTGCTTTTGCTTCAATATTATCGCCTCAGGAAAGTTTATTTGAACACCATGTCCTAATAAATAGTGTTTTATAGATTTTTTAGATAGTAATTTGTCTGAAAAGTTTTAAATCTAGACGAAAATTGTGTCTACATAGAATTTTATTTTAAGCTATTTATGTCGAATATCATGCTTGTCATGCATTTGCGAGAATCAAATATGGCGTCACGGTGGCCGAGAGGTTAAGGCGTTGGATTCGAAATCCAATGGGGTTTCCCCGCACAGGTTCGAATCCTGTTCGTGACGAAGTTCCTTTTCGCGCGAGACTGAGCGAATTATTGTTGCTGTAACCCTAAAAACAAATTTACATGTCAGTTATATGTGTGAAAATTCATAACGATCTAAATCTAGCTAGTCATGTTTTCACACTTTGATTCGGAAAGCACATTATGCATGTTATGCACTTATCTACATGGCCTTTACAAGTTTGTTGGATTTCCTTGATGTTAACGCCAACGCAGGTTTATCTGCACTTCATTAATATACAGGGGTCATATACAGGACCCAACCCTTCAAATACAGCAAAACTGTAACTGCCAACAGTATATTGGATGATCAGGCTATTGATTTGGGTTGCATCATCACCTCATTTGGATCACTTGATGTTGATGATGCAACCCAAATACCTTTAGAAATATTTTGGAACGTGTAATCAAATCATATTACACAGCGTCGGCAATCGTACATGGAAATGGAGTGTGGTTATTTCCTATCCATGTGGACACATTCTTCACGGTGTCCAATCAGATTGATCTGAAATGTAACAAGAACACGGTAAAAACCAACACTTGAGTCTCTAAAGCTTTCGTTCCTTTGCGATGTTAATGATACTGGATAATACAGAGTGAATCGTTTGTAATGTCTGTTCACTCAAATGTGCGTAAATTAAAATCGCATTTGTGTATTTAACGTCAATAACACATCTTTGAACACCCCCGCGAAACAGTGAGATGGTACATCCGGTAGAATTTAAAGAACCGAACACACACACTGGCGCAGAGCAGACGCTTTGTTATTGAGTGAGAGGCAAGATGGCACTGTGAAATAGAGATTTCCCCTCTTTTGCGACAGCATTTTTATTCTCTTTTCTTAGTAAGCTTGCAGTGCTGCACATGTAGAAAACATGCTATAATTATATCAATTTGAAAGGCCATCAGGAAGTTTCGAACTGCTCATAACGCACATTATAGTTAGGTAGCTATTCGTTATCTCGGCTGACATCCGTTTTTAGATTGACTCAGTCGTCGCTTTAGCCTTTGAATGCCGATTAGACACCAGATTAATGATATTCGTGTGAAGGGGGAAATGAAGAGACGCCTTATTGTTGAGTTTGAACTCACTGGCACGGTTTTAAACGCAACATAACCGGCACGTTTATGTAAAGAAACGTCCATTTTAATAGCTATTTGTTCATTTGACGTCGTGTATTGATAGTGTAGGCTAACAAAAAGGCCGTGACTCGGTATAAATCAATCTGGATGCTAGACATTTTAAGCACTGACAGACTTAGAAGCGAAGTTTTGGAGTCGTAGTTTTTCAATTTTAGGAAAGGATGAAGTCTAAAATATCTGTCTGGAAAACAAACGAGTGTTTTATACGAATATTTGTAATCGTGGAGGAGGAAATATTTCCCCCTTTTTACTTTGATTATTTTAGCTCGGTGGGGATGTGTGAAAACAAACAGCCTCAAATGTTACGCTAGAAACACCTCAGCCTTTCCAAAAGGGTCTTGTATACAACGTTTATTAGCCAAGTAAAGTTTATTTGGCAAATAAAACAACCCACTCAGAGCACAGATTTAGATCAAGAGATCCTCTCACACATCTGTGGTTTCGCTAGCCGGTGTGCTAACCTCCACCTCACCCTTCAGAAATGTCGAATATCTTCAACGAAGCTGTGACTTTGATTAAAGATGTAAAGCCCGGATTGAAAAACCTTAATATCGTCTTTATCGTTTTGGAAATCGGTAAGTGGATTCACTGCTGTGCCCCTCACGACCGTTTATTAGCACGAGGAGCTAATTCCTCACAGCTAACATTCATGATTCTCATGTCTAAACGTTGCGCTTGACGTCTCTGTTGCTGTGTTCTTGTAGCTTTGATTTTCCAGGTATATGCCGTCGTGTAACGCAACTGTTTGTGTGTGTTTAGTAGTTTTGTTACAGTTGAGATTTGACTGTTAACTTTGCTGTGCACGCGCAGGTCGGGTGACGAAGACAAAGGACGGGCACGAGGTGCGCTCGTGCAGGGTGGCGGATAAGAGCGGCAGCATCTGCATCTCTGTGTGGGATGAGCTGGGCAGCCTCATCCAGCCCGGGGACATCATCCGCCTTACTAGAGGGTACGAACTTCCTCCTGTCTGTCGGTGTAGTTTATTCAGACCTTAGACACGTCAAACCCCGTGTTGCTATTGGGTTGTCAATCAAACACAAACCGGCAACTTGCTCTTTCAAACTGGTCTAAAATGCTTGGCATCCTGTAAGACGTCATCAGAAACAATGATGCATGTTGTAGCAGTGTACAGAATAAATCTGAATTAAGGCTTATGAACATATTGCATTGGGTACAGATGATACGTTTTTCAACTTGGAAATATTTGTGTCTGGCTAGGTATGCTTCAATCTGGAAGGGGTGCCTTACACTGTACACTGGACGAGGAGGAGACTTACAGAAAATAGGAGAGTGAGTATTAAATATTTTCTCCCACAATACATGCTGCATATAAATCATTTGTCACGTTCATTATTTTGTGGTTTATCAGCATTGGGCAATAACTATGTCCACTTGGCAGATAAACCAAAATGGTAATTAACCCTTGTGTCAGTTCCAAAATCTAGAGTCAGTGGGTAGATATTGCATGATTTCCGTATGCGAATACTTTGAGAGTTCAGTAAATGTCAAACCTGGTTAAAAATAAGGGTTCCTGTGACTATGGAGAAACACTGAAATCTCATTTCCAAATCTGGGAAAATCCCGAAAATGTCTATAGCATTGGAGTCCAGTCTTGTTCTTGGAGTGTCACTTTCAGTTTAGTTTCAACCCTATTTAAATAGGCATGAAACGGAAACATAATTGGACACCCCTGGTTTTTATGCTTTGCTCAAACATTTAACGTTATTACTGACCATAAACTTGACTGATGTACTGGGTAAAAAGGTGTGGGAACACTTAATTTCAGCCATTGTCTCATCTCATATATATATATATATATATATATACCGGTGTATATATATGGTTTTGTTATATAAATGAAAACCTAGCCCTCAGTCACTTTTTATAAGCATGTTCCTGTAGCTCAAACAGGAGAGCATTGCACCAGCAATGCCAAGGTCATGTTTGATTCTCAGGCAATGCATGAACTGATAACATGTACATCTTCAATGCAAGTTGCTTTGAATAAATGCTTCTACCTAAGTCATGCATGTAAGTGTCATTAAAAGCATATTTAGTTTGCATTGTCTTTCACAGGTTCTGTATGGTGTATTCTGAGGTTCCTAATTTCAGTGAACCAAATCCAGAGCTGCTAGCACAAGCTAACCAGCAGAACAAAACAGTGAGTCCAGTCTTCCTGTTTATGCAAAATGGCACCTCAGTGTGATGCCTGAATGAGTATACTTCCTTTTCAATTGTTTGCATGCATACATTTGCTTCAGTTATTGTGAAAAACATAGGCTTGTTTTGCATTCTACCTCATTTCAAAGTCCTTGTTTAGAACAGATAAATAGGAATGTTTAAGTAATTTATGCAGAAGCAAACATTTGGTTTTACTTCTGCTGCACATTCAAATACTGAGCCATTAAACTGCATAACAGGAGGTGCTGGTTTATGACTAAAGTCAACACAATGGTGTCTTATCTCTTGTGCTCTCAATAGGGTAAAGAACAGCGGGGAATTTCTCCACTGAATCAAAATGCAGGTACTCCTGCACAGACAGGTGAGCAAATATGGCTTGTACTTCACACAGTCTGTCCTACTAGGGTAACCAATGCTGATTTTGTAGTGGTAGCTTAATGGTTTGGAATCTGATCTGCTAACGAAGGTTGCAGGTTCTATCTCAGAAATTTGATTTACTGCGATCTCACTCCTGTTTGTACCTACCGTTGGCATACTGTAAGTTGCTTTTGATAAGTGTCTGCTTATTGATGAAACTAGAGTAATAGCTGGAACACTCATTATAGTGTCTCTGTGATATGTTGATTAAGTCTGTCATCTTCGTTTTAACTATTTGTCCAACAGGAAATGGTACTGTGCCAGTATTTCTGAATAACAGTGCTGCACCTGTGCCTCGGGATCCCAATTTTGGGGCTCCAAGAAGACCAAATGGGCGTGTTCCAGGCAATGGGCCACCCTCAGTAACTGCAGGGGGACCCGCTGCTCCACCCAATCCCACAGTTACCATTAGCAATGGCAGGGACCCAAGACGGGCTTCAAAGAGATGAGACCGCAAAACAACTTTCATGTTCCCACTCCTCCCTAAAATCCTTCCACAAACCAATACACAAAACAATGCTGCCAATTAAGAGATACGAGGTTCAGTGCTACGGTCTTGCCACCTGTGCTTTTTGCTTTGTCATGTGCCAATATTTGCGTAGTGATTATTTGATAATCTCAAAAGTTTCGAGTTCAACTTGTTACAGTTAAAATATGGCATACTCTTTGCCTGTTGAGTGCCTGTTCAGTGGCCCACCATTTATTTCCTTTCCCTAAATGTGTTGTTGAACTATACACCCTACTTGAACACAATGCACTTTCTGCTGTTAATTTATAGTGAATGCATTGCCATGTGATTCAGGAATTATTGACTGTTGTTGCAAATTGGGGAAAGAACTTCAAAGTGACTAACTACAGTCATGGCCAAAAGTTTTGGCAGTGACATAAGTTGTGTTTTGCAAAGTTTGCTGCTTTAAACTGTTGTGGTGTTAATTCACGTTGTTTCTAGATTATTGTGAAGAGTGATCGGATGCATTTTTAAATAATTGCTAAAAGCTTCATTCGCCAAAAAATTAACTTTTCACAAAAAAACTAATTTCACTTTTTTTGATCCTGACACGAAATGACCAGCTAGCATTAATTGACTAATCATATCAACAGCACATGAGAAAGTGTGAATGAGTACTAGTCAGGTAAAATCACTATCATACTAATTATATTGTAAGAGCAGACTGCTATAAAAGGAGGGAAGACGCCCTTCCAATCATTGTGTTCTTGTTAGCAATGGTTTCCTCCAAAGAAACACGTGCAGCCATCATTGCTTTGCTCTGCATGCACAGTGAGGCCAAGACTTCTGGACAACGGCCTGGTGTCAAGAAGGGCAGCAAAGAAGCCACTTCTCTCCCAAGAAAAACGTCAAGGACAGACTGACATTCTGCAGGAAGTACAAGGATTAGACGGCAGAAGACTGGTGCAAAGTTATTTTCTCTGGTGAAGCTCCCTTCCGACTGTTTGGGACATCTGGAAAATCGATTGTTCAGAAAAGAAAAGGTGAACGCTCCCATGAGTCCTGTGTTGTTCCAACAGTGCAGCAT